TTTTTGCTCCTGATTTCAGTGATTTTACCACTATGTGTTGTTCCTGAAAATATGCATGCCACCATGGAGGGCTTTTTTGGTTTCAATTCCCCCATCCCCCATCCCCCTGGAAATTTCAGTCTTAGTGAATACATTCCTTTTACAATTTTAGCTTTTAAGATCCCGTCTCCCAATTCTAGCTTCTAAGACCCCTTCCCCCTTGAAATTTTTAAATTTTTCTAATCATCTCTTACTTCTTGATCTTTACAGATTCTGGAGAGTTAACATACACTTTATCAGAAGCTGTGGAGAAAATTGGCTTTGGCAAATTTCAAATAAGAATTTTGCTGATGGTTGGATTTTTTACAGTAAGTATACATGTAGTGACCTCTTCACGGTTTCTGGCGCCATCTTGTTTGGGGGATAAACACGGCAAAAATTACAGTAAATGTATGGGGAAAAAGGTCTATTTAAATTTATTTTAGTTGACATATATTTTAAATTACAGATGCAGGTTAATTACCTTGTGTTTTAACATAATAGAATCTATGGAAGAAATTTTCACAGCACCTTTATGTTTTTGTAAATATTTTTACAGCAATGTTGTTACATTTTGGTTACATATATGAGTGTTTTTCAAATTTTATCTTCGTTAGTTTAAAGTTTCTCACACAATAAAAATGAGTTTAAATGCTCTTCTTATTAACAAGAGTGTTTCCTAAAAAAAAAAATTAATACTGCAAAATAAGATGACTGTTTGATGTGCAGTCCCAAATATAAAGCTCAATTTGCCTGATTGAAGGTTTTCACATTGTGCATTTCCAGAAAATATCCATACTCCCCCCACAGGGGGGTCGGGGGTTCCGTAAGACCTACAAATATAAAAGAAATGTGTGAAGCTTAATTGGAATTTCCAGAGGGGTGAAGGGGTCTTAGAAAAAATCCCTTCCATGGGGATTGGGGGAGGTATGAATATTATCTGGAACTGCGCATTTTAATACTTTCATATTATTTTAGATTGCTGATGCACTGGAGATGATGCTGCTCTCCATTCTTGCGCCAACTATCCGCTGTATCTGGCACCTTCCATCCTGGAAGGAAGCCTTGGTTACAACGGTGAGTTGTGGACCTAGTTGATATATAGCAATAAACCCATTCCTGTCATCAAGGGTCAATAGAAGGAGATTGCTCGTTAATACCAGTTTTGGTTCTTGAAGTGATGTATACATGTAGTGGGAGTACAGGTGTTACTACCTCAGTCATTTGGTTGGATTACATTTGATAGGATTTGTGTACTTCACTTTGTGAGTCAGAGTGCCCTACGAACAAAGTGTCGTGGCCAATGAATATGATACAATAAATTATTACAATAATAATTTATAGTAACACAATTATAATAATTTATTGTTAATATTAACCACCCTTACTAATGCGTGAACCTTGTTTGATAAAGTTTGATCTGCAGTCTAATGAACTAGTACCCTGAGAGCAGAGGTCCCTTCGATCCAAGGGACTTCTGCTCACAGGGTAACGAACTAGCCAATTGCTTGCATTATTCTACAAATATATGCTAATGGTAACTGATTCCTGATTCATGTTATAATTTTGTATATATTTTCAGGTGGTTTTTGTTGGAATGATGTTTGGATCATCTTTTTGGGGATGGCTTGCAGACAACTACGGACGAAAATTTGTAAGTTTCTTAAATACAGTTGAACCTCTATTATGTAGTTATTCTTGGGGATGAGACAACTGGCTGCTTTTAGAGGCGGCCGTTTAATAGAGGTTCAGCCAAAAACAACGTTGGGCATGGTCCAGTTTTCAGTTTATCAAATATAAGTACAAATAAATGAAAGTGGCGAAAAGCAGAACAATGATGGTTACAATACAGTCCATAATGTTAACAAAAGCCAAAGAAACAATTACATGTACAGATGCTACATCTGTTAACCCAGCACTGGCTCATGTGCTGTACAAACAAAGTAAAACGCTTTGAGACTTTGTTTTGTGACTGTTTTCAATTAAATTAACTGCTAAAATGTGTTTTTACAGTATTCCACATTGTCATTCTTTACCTTCATCTGGCCAAAAACGTCCAACTTCAAATCTTCCAAGCCGTTTCGTAGAAATATGAAACAAAACAAAATCACCCTTGGGACGGCAAGAAGCTGGCAGTGGCCACTTAATAGAGGTGACCGTTGAATACAAGTTTTTATTACAGTGTATAGCTGACATTGAATTTTTCCGGGACTTTGGCTGCTGGCCGCCAAATAAAGGCTGGCCGTTAATAGGGGGCCGCTTAACAGAGGCTTGACTNAGTCAGAGTGCCCTATGAACAAAGTGTCGTGGATGATACAATAAATTATTATAATAACTTATAATAACATAATTATAATAATGTATTATTAATATTAACCACCCTTAATAATGCTTGAACCGTGATTGATAAAGTTTGATCAGCAGTCTAATGAACTAGTACCCTGAGAGCAGAGGTCCCTTCAATCGAAGGGACCTCTGCTTACAGGGTAATGAACTAGCCATTTGCTTGCATTATTCTACAAATATATTCTAATGGTAACTGATTCCTGATTCATGTTACATTTTTGTATATATTTTCAGGTGGTTTTTGTTGGAATGATGTTTGGATCATCTTTTTGGGGATGGCTGGCAGACAACTACGGACGAAAATTTGTAAGTTTCTTAAATACAGTTGAACCTCTTTTAGGCGGTTATTCTTGGGGACGAGACAACTGGCCCCTTTATAGAGGTGGCCGTTTAATAGAGGTTCACCAGAAAACAATGTTGGGTGTGGTCCAGTTTTCAGTTTATCAAATATAAGTACAATCAAACAAATGCAAGTGGAGAAAAAGTAGAACAATGATGGTGATAACACGGTCCATAACGTTAACAAAAACCAAAGAAACAATTACATGTACAGATGCTACGTGTCTGTCAACCCAGCACTGGCTCGTTTGCTGTTCAAACAAAGTAAAACAGTTTGAGACTTTGTTTTGTTTTTAATTAAATTAACTGCTAAAAATGTGTTTTTACAGTATTCCACATTGTCATTCTTTACCTTCATCTGGCCAAAAAGGTCCAACTTCAAATCTTCCAAGCTGTTTAATAGAGATATAAAACAAAACAAAATCACCCTTGGGACGGCAAGAAGCTGGCAGTGGCCACTTAATAGAGGTGACCGTTGAATAGAAGTTTTTATTACAGTGTNGTACAGCTGTGGGAGTATGTGATTCTGGCCAATAGCCATCAGATAGATCTCGCAGGACTGGGAATTCCCCCCAGATCTGAGAGTCTGACCATTAGCTCAACAATGTTGGTTGGAATTTAAACTTTGTATTTTTGTCTTTCAGTTTTTCTGGGCAATAGGATCTGTCTTTACTGTCGCAGTTGCTATGGCTGTGATGCCAACATTAGGCTGGAGGTGGCTGTTAGGATTTCTCTCACTACCACTTCTTTTCTTTGTTTTAATGAGTTATGTGAGTATGTCTTCTATGAAAATTTGCTCAGTATAGCATAAGAAACAGAAAATCTGCACAGCAGATTCGACATTCAATTTTCTCACTCATCTAGAGCTACATTGCACAGAAAATCAGTAGTACATGTACCACATCAAAGCTCTCTGTGAGTGATAACACTTCAGTGTTTCAACCACAGACATTGAGGTTTGAGTTGTGACAAAAGACATTAGATTATTGAAGACAGAATTCAAAGTGTTATATGAACATGTCAGGTTAC